GTGTACGTACACCTCATCAGTATATATTATTTCGCTGCCTTTCCCCCTCATCTCCATTCCTTTGAGCTCAACCAGTTAGCCATATCTAAGAAACCTGTACTGTCTGCAGCACCGCCCGTCAGCAGCTGCAGCTGTTGCTGCTGCTGCTGCTGCTGCTGCTGCTGCTGTTGCTGCTGTTGCTGTTGCTGCTGCTGTTGTTGCTGCAGCTGCTGCAGCTGCTGCAGCTCCTCCCCGCCCGCAAAAAAGTCGGCGTAGGAGAAAGGTGACAGCGCATCGAGTCTATCAGCAACAGTCTGTGCTTGTTGCAGCAGCAGCAACTGCTGCTGCTGCTGCTGCTGCTGCTGTTGCTGCTGCTGTTGCTGCTGCTGCTGCTGCTGTTCACTCCACTCTTCTCTCGCGTCTGCTGCTGTCAGCTGGTCTCTGCTGCTCACCCGGCTCCCCTCTTCTAGCGTCTGTTCTGTGCTGCTGACGGTCTCTGTGCTGTCTGTACTCTCCAGCTCCCACCTGCTTGGTTCTGCTGCTTTTCTGTTTAACCCTTGCAGCGGGGGCCCCTTATAGGGGGCCCCCTTGGGGGCCCCCCCACCCTTCTGGCCCGTCCCCCTCTTCTGGGGGCCCCCCCCCTTCGCGGGGGGCCCCTTCAGGGGGCCCCTCACCCCAGGTGCAACAAAAGCAACATCCCCCATAGTCATGGCGCTCAACGCGCCAAGCTCCTGCTGGTCTGCATGCTGCTGCTGCTGCTGCTGTTGCTGCTGCTGCTGCTGCTGCTGCTGCTGCTGCTCTAGTGCACCCAAGGAGAGGCCACTGCTTGTAAGGGTCGCCAGTTGTTTGTCTGTCACCTGCAGCATCTGGAGGAGAGCAGCAGCAACTGCATTTGAATGTCTTCTATCATCTTGTTCCTGCTGCTGCTGCTGCTGCTGCTGCTGCTGCTGTTGCTGCATGCAGACTGCAGGCAGCCCCACTTGCTGCTGCAGCTTTTGCTGCGCTTCGCCTCCTCTCCCCTTCCCGCGCGATCGCCGCATGCGTCTGTTTTCAACGCTGTGAGAAGAGCTGGAAGCAGCAGCAGCAGCAGCAGCAGATGCATTGTCTGCTGCTGCTGCCGCCGCAGCAGCAGCAGAAGCAACTCTAGCAGCAGTATTTCCAGGCGCTGTGAGTGTTTTCCCCTGCTTATGTGTCGTCCAGCTGTTGGGTAGCAACTTGCCACAGGAATCCTTTGCCTGCTGCTGCAGCTGCTGCTGCTGCTGCTGCTGCACCTGCTGCTGCTGCTGCTGCTGCTGCAGATGGTAGACAAGGGATTCAAGCAGCCGCCCCGACAAAGTGTCTAGAGTGATATTCTTTTGCTGTTGTTGCTGCTGTTGCTGTTGTTTGTTGCTGCACTGTCTCTGCTGCAGCGGAGCAGCAGCTGCTGCTGCTGCAGCTGCAGCAGCCGCTGCTGCTGCAGATTGCCCATGCCGCCCCCGCTGTGCTGTTTGTTGTGCTGCAGCTCTGTGGGTGGAAGATGAGTGATAGTTTTGCTGCTTCTGCTGCTGCATCTGCTGCATCTGTTGAAGTATCTGCTGCATCTGGTTCTGCTGCTGCTGTTGTTGCTTCTGTTGCTGCTGTTCACCCTGTTTCTGCTGCTGTTTCTGTTGCTGTTGCTGCTCTCCCTGTTGTTGTTGCTGTTCTCGCATTTGTTTGTGTTCTTCTCCATGAATTTGTTTGTGCACGCCGAGATGTTGTTTGTGCTGCTGGGCCTGAATCTGCTGCATCTGGTGCTGCTGCTGCTGCTGCTGCTGCTGCTGCTGCAGTTTGCCCGCACTTGCTCTCGTATCATTCCTTGCTGCAGCTCCTCTCTCTCTAGCGAAGTCTCTTACACCGCTCTGCGCAGCTAAAGTCCTAAAAAAGAGTAATTCCTCAGCTCCATGCGCGTGGTTGCAGGTGTCGGGGTGTAAGCATCGACCAGAAAGCCAGTTGCGGCAGATATTCGTCTTAAAGAAAGCGACAGTGAAACGCAGTTCAGATCGGCTGTGAGCAAAGGAGCAACTTGAACCTGAAAAAAAAAAAAAAAAAAAAAAAAAAAAAAAAAAAAA